AATCCCCTTCAATAAGAGCTGGGTGCAGCAGGCCATCATGGAATATAGAATAGTTGTTGGTCATAATGCCAACATTTGGTTTGCATTGTGAGGGTGAACTTCAGTCTCTATTGGTTTTGTGTATGCTTATGCTGGTTGTAAATAAAATCTCAATCAGGAATTTTGCTTGGGTGTGAGCGACATAAGCTATGGTGAGATTTGTGGCAGAATCAGGGGAATGACATCAATTCAGGGGGATTATAGTCTGGTCAATCCCTTATTAGCTGTACAACTCATCTCATTAATATTCTGCTTCTTACCTCACCAAGTGCACCAAAGGAACTACATGACAGGAATTCTCAACATGGAAATCTGAGCAGATACCTGGAGACTTCAACTCACTGCTTGCTGCAACCAGCCTCCATGCTGCTCAGCACCAAACAGCATCTGAGGGCACAAACCACAGGCGCCAGTCACACATACTGTTTGCCCACAGAGATTGGCATTTGATATTTGCCACAATTCTCATGGCACCTCTCCAACCTATTTGTAGGATATTTAGGAAGCACAGACTTGCATTGCAAGGCGTACCAGCGCAGTATGCCAAGGGCACCTCCAATACCACTCCACAGCCTTCCAGTTGGATGTTCTTAGTGAAAGGGTCATGCCTCTCCAGTCAAGGGAGGGGAATACGGTCAGTCTTGTGGCTCCATGGCAACCAGTCAGGCTGTAGAGCTAATACAGTAGGAAGGTGTACAGGGCTTTAGCTGTTTTTGGCCCAGGCCTCTCCCGTTAGGTGTGGACAATCAGCTCATTGAGTCTGTCCCCGAAACTAAGGGAAAGGGCGATGGGGGTGGAGTTGGTAAACAAGGGGGCATCTGCTGCAGGAAGGAGATTCAAGAATCTATTCTTCAAACTGGGGGCTGCAAGCTGAGGGGAGGGAGAAATTACTACTGTGAAGAGATGAAATAGTATTTGTAAGGGGGGGATAAAAAATGCAGGGATGGGATGGAGGGTCATGTGGGAGGGGAGTTTTTGTCTACAGTCAGGAGTACCCTGGCTTCAAGGCAGGTCAGTCTGCGCCCCCACATGGCATTAATATACAGCAGAGGCAGCAGGAGAAAGAAGGCAAAGGAAATGGGTTGGGTGGGGACCCTGCAAAAGTGTAAAGCCTATGGGGTTTTGGGGAAAGGGATGTGGATCAGGGCCTTGTTGACAGATAGAGACTGGAAGCCACTGGCCAAGGAGTGTTCACAATCACCTTCCATCAAACTGATATTCAGAAGTGCCAATGGAAGGAGAATGTCTGTGACAACGCCCGGAGTGGATCTGCTGAGGTGAGGACCTTTAAATGGAGACAACGTTTCCCTTTCAGCAGCCTTTCTGGCAGACTATGAGGGCACTGGACCTGGCTCTCCATGGCAGCATTGCACCACTGCAGCTTCTGGGCAATGAGGGCCATTGTGTCCTACATTCGTGCCTGCTGCTCCTGTTCCTCCCTATGAATGTGGACCAAGTCCCTGATTGCTAACACTGCAGGCTCCTCTCCACTCCTGCCTGGGGCTGAGCAGGTGCCCAATCTCTGGCAGTCCTCCGAGGTTAACTTGGCCAGCTGCAGAGCTGTCACAGTAAGGTGCTCACTAGATTGTGCTTCCAAACTTTCTACAGCGAATGTTCCCACTTAGGTTTCAATATCTGATAGGGTGCAGGAGGCAGCCTTGCTAATGCTTTCTCCAAGTATCCTTGTCCTCAGAGGCTGAAGAGGTCATTTCTACCAAGATGGTGGACCTCCCAGTGATACCTGAAAAATACGAGAGAGAGAAGAAGTCACAGCTATTGGTTAGAAGTGACAATGATAGAGGTTGACACTGACAGAGACTGACACTGACTGCAATGAATGGTTGGCTGGATATGAATCTCTCGGAATGCATTCTGGCATTGTCCTGGTGCTTTCCGCTGAGGGCCAGGATTCTCTCCTGGAGAGGTGGTGCAGACTCATGTTGGGCCCTATATCTGCCCTATTGTGGGCTAACCTCTCCTGATGTGGGAGAAAGGAAGGATACTGGTTGGCACAGCTGTTAGTACTGATGTGAGTGCTATCAAATTTCCTAAGCCAATGAGTAGGCAGCCCAGGGGCTATGCAGAGGGAGTGACAGCGAATGAAGGAAAATGTTGCAAGCAGCAGTGAGAGTGGTCGAGCATGAGCCTTGGTGGAAGGTGGTTGCATTAACAGAAAGAGATTGAGTGTGCAAAGCAGAGAGAAGAGTGTGGCGCTTTCCCTGGCACAATGCAGAAGGTCATTGACCTTTTCACGACACTGCTGGCAAATTCCTCCTCACTCACCCAGTGGTGACCTCAGGCCACGCTGCCAGTGCCTGATGGTGAAGCTTCCTCTCTGGTCCTGTAGGAAGAGCACTCTCCTCCTTTGCTCCATCTTCTCCACCAGAACTTCCAGGTCCTATTAAAAATTGTGTGGCTCTAACTTCCCATTCGTGTGCAACCTCAAAACATGTCTGAGGGCAACCTTGGAATGCCAGGTTTCATCTTGGGTACACAGCAGCCTTTTAAATAAAACATAGGTGACAGGGACACTGCCCTTCCAGTAGACATCTATTGGTTGACTTGTTCAGAAACAGCTCGTGGTAAGATGGAGTTGGAATCAAATGTGAGGGATGCAATAGTGACAGGGTATGTAGTTAATGAAGTGAGTTTGGTGAGATATGGCGAGAAATCTTGCTAAGCCTCATTGGCAAGAATTCCTCCAAAAAATCCACACAACTTGCACTTAGCCAAAAGTGAAGTAAGATTTAGCTCCTCATGTTTGGAATTGTCCCACCAACTTGTCTGAATGCAATGTTCCCCTGCTGGACAATGACAAGCTGTGAGTCTCCAGTGGGCGTTAGGGATGGAACAGCAGTGACTTAGAGGGGAGTTCAGATGAAACATGGTTAAGGGCAGGTAAACTGTTTGTGGCCTGGCGGTTAAACAATGACCAGGCTGAGAGAATAGGGTTTACATGGGAGGAAGTGTCAGCCATGTTGGCTATATGCCATGAGCAGTTTGACCTTGTAGCTGCTATACCATTATGTTGCCAGTAAGGGACAGCGCCAGATTGTAAATGCTTGTCCAGGTTCACATGGCCTTTTGAAAATGGCAGGAACCAGGTGCTGGTGTTTTGGCTGATATCTGTTGAATGACTAGTTGTTTGGGCATTGGTAAGGTGGTACTGGAGTTAGATGTGAGGGATGCCTTGGGACAGGGCAAGTAGTTAATGGAGCAAGTTTGATAGGATATGGTGAGAAATCTCACTGGGCTCTATGGCAAAAATCCCTCCAAAAACTCAACACAACTCGCACTTAGCCAAAAGAAAATTAGCTTTAGCACATGGAGTCCAAGCTTTTTGTTTTGCATTCATCAGGACTGAAATAAAGTTTTCTTTGAGCCTTTGTTAAGCCTTCCTTTGATTATCTGAGTTACAGTATATAGAGTGGCCATCAACCAAGCCTTGCAAACCCCACCTAGTTGCTACAATTAGGAACTTGTGCCAGTGGGTGAGGGACCCAGGACTGCCAAAACCTATGAACACAGGTTATACTCCACTGAATGTTGGTGTACCAGTTGGAGATGTGCAAAATCAGCAGATGCAGTTTTCCTCTCAGAATGGTCAGATATTTGACAGTAATTGATAAAATAACATGTATATTTTGATAACATAACATTCTGCAAATAACACCTAAGCCTTCATTCTGAAACAAAATCAACCTCTTGTTCAACACAGTAAATTTGTGAAACTTAGTGAGTTAGAATCTTTGACAGTTCAGGTTTGAGCAGAACTTTTAAAAATTTTGAGACAAAGTTGTAAAACCAAAGAGGTTAAAACAGCCACTTTCGTTCGGATTTTTGGATTGACCACATCCATCCAATGACCAGCTCAAACTATCAGACATAGGTGTTCAAGCATTTGCCTCTGAGCTAACCTCTTTCCATGGAAGTGTATAAGAGACTGCCTGTGGAGTTTGCACATTCTCCCCGTGTCTGCGTGTGTTTCGTTCGGGTGTTCCAGTTTCCTCCCACAGTCCAAAGATGTGCAGGCTAGGTGGATTGGCCATGCTAAATTGCCCATAATGTTCAGGGATATGTAGATTAGGGGGATAGGTCTGGGTGGGATGCTCTGAGGGTTGGTGTGGACTTGTTGGGCCGAAGGGCCTGTTTCCACACTGTAGGGATTCTATGAATGAGTTGCCAGTGAGGAGAGACGTGGAATCAGCTATGGCAAAAAAAAACTTCTGCTACTAAAGGGGTCATTTTAACTTTAGCCGATGGTGACTATGAATTATCTACCCACCGCAGACTATACCCAAAAATCCTTTCCATTGAAGTCCGTATAAAAGAAAAAGAGTTGGGATGGGTAACAGACAGCCTAGTTTGTATTGCTCTTTTTACGTTATCACCCGTAGTAAAAGAGGCTCTCCAGAGGAGAATAAACCAGAAAGTGCTGGAGAAATTCAGCAGGTCTGGCAGCAGTTACAAAGAGAGAAACAGAGTTAACTTTCCAAGTCCAATATGGCTCTTCTTTTCCAAAGGTGCTGATGAGTTACTCGCAGCCATTGTATTGTAAATGAATCAACCCACTCCTCTAGAGGACGATAATGGAAGAAAAGCGAAGCAAAGCCAAAAAATCTAAACATAAATAAATTACTTAATCTGTACCCTGAAATCATATTTATACCAATTTAAGGAGAGAAATGCTACTTTTAACCTATATTTTTGATGACATTAAAGCAACAATTGCTAAATATGTATTTTAAATAGGACACTTGTTGAGAAGTAGTCTAGTTGAAGAGATCTTTTTTGCCTTTGTCTCTAAGTATTCAACGATACTAATTTCAAGTCTTTTTGCCACTTCTACCAATGCCAATGCTTTTTGCCTCCTTGAATTATCTATGTTTGAAGACTGGTTAATAACTTCTAGTGTGTTCATATGACCCTGCTTGTGTGTTGTAATATAAATAGCAGAAAGTCAAATGTCCAGAGTGAAGCAAAGCACTTTCAAATCTTTGAAATATGCCAAAAGCAATAGTTTGGTCTACTACCAGGTGCCTTTTCATCTGGCTGGCGGTGTTACTGTCGTATTCTGTAAGTAAGCACTTTTTACGCAACTTTAAAATGTATAAGTGCTATTTTTTGACTAAAGTAGAAACACATAAACAGTAGTCACAGGAACTGGTTTTATGGATGCACAACACCAGGTCTAAAATTGTTACACATAACTTTCAAGTTTCTGTGGTATCGTTAAAGTTGTGCACGTTGTAAAACTTAATTTATCCACTCACTAAAAAGCCGCTGATGAAGCATTTCTTCCATTATGTAGTTTTTTTTCCCTCCCACCACCAACACCTCACCCCTCCCCCCAAAATTAATTACTGCGCACATTTCCTGGCCTTTTTCCTCTTGATTTCTCTGTTCAGTAAACTCCTATTCTTTCCATTAGGCCTCTGAGTTACGAGATATCATTTACTTGCCATGGGTTCTAGGCAAATGATGTCATGCTGCTTTAATAGTTCCTGTATAGAGCCTTTTCCTATATTTTTTTTATGAGTAATAAAGTTAATGCTGTGGAGGCAAGCTTTACCAGAACCAGATGAAAAAAATTCACAGTAATCATTCAATGTACATAAAAGTAATGATAAATAACTTATTTCTCCTTTAATTAAAATGTTTTGTCTTAAAGGGACATTGTCTGTATTGAGGCTTTGTTTACAAATATGTTGTTGAATCATTGATAAATACCACTGCGTAATTGCTGACACAGTGATGTCATCATGTCATTACATCAAGAATTCCATTTCACTTTGAAGATGTTTAACCTCAAAATGGAGAAATCCACACTGCTGTCTTTTGTACTCTAGTCAATCTACTTTAGATTGGAGTATGAAACTGCTTTAAATAGCAAAGTTTTCTCAGTGGAAGGTTCCAGAGACTTAACTTGTCTGGAAGTTTCCAAGTCACATGTTTTAAAGTCATGAATGGCCCTTTGTATGTTGCAGTAGATTCATGCATAACTTTTTTTTCTCTCCACAGAAAGTCTGCAGTGACAATGGTGAGTGCTTTTTTTCCTAAAAGAAATGTATAGAATATATTCAACATTAAAGTTCTGCTTAATGAACAGCTGGCAATTGACAATAAAATGGTGCAGTGTACATTTTTTGGATAATACTTGCATTGAGATATAAAGTAGAAATGCAACATATGTATAGATGGGAAGTTTTACATCAATTTAATAGAACTTTAGGTGGGTAGATATAACAAGGCTGGAGTTGAATATTTTGCCATTATCTGACTGATAAGTTTTCAAAAGAAATTCGATCTTCCAGTGAGTAGCTGAAAGGATAACATAACAAGATTTCACAATTTAAGAGTTTTGCTGTAACAAAGGCAAAAAGCACTATTGACTGAATGATATTATCTTAAACAACTTATATTTCAAACCATAAAACAGGGTGTTTCTTTTTTACTGTTACCTTAAACAAAAAGGCACTTCACAGATATACTATACACTGTCCTTTAAGTAGACAGTTAATTCTCTCAGAATGAGTGTAAAGAGATTAGAATCAAGAAGTCATAGTCATACAACATGGAACAGACCCTTCGGTCCAACCTGTCCATGCCGAACATAATCCTACACTAAACTAGTTCCATCTGCCCACTCCCAGCCCATATCTTTGCAAACCTTTCCTATTCATGTATGTTGTAGTTGTAGCCACATCCACAACTTCCTCAGGAAGTTCATTCCACATGCAAACCACCCTCTGTGTGAAAAATTTGCTCCTCATGCCCTTTTTAAACCTGTCTCCTCTCATCTCAAAAATGTGTCCCCTTGTCTTGAAATCCCTCTTACCTCCTGAGAGATTACTTCTATTCTTTTGCTTTCTCTGCCTGAACTGAAATTGTCTATCTTTCCTTTAGAAATTCTTCAACCAGCGTTAGCAACTTGTGAGATTTTTCCTTGTTACAAGCTTGAGTGTTTTTGCTGTTCATTTACCCTTCATCTTTACAATGTTATTTCGGGTATTTCTATCCTTCTTCAAATTTTGGATCACATCTGCTATCTTCTGATAGTCATTGGTCTTAGACAGACAAATTTTCCTCTTTGTTCCAGTGTGACGCTATCCACATCAATCTTCACTCTAGTTTCTTCTAATGGGTTCCTTCTAGCTACCTTTGTTTTCATGATTTGGTGCCCATACTCAATCCATATTCTAAAATTCTAAAAATTACGTGATCCACGATATTTTGTCAGGTCTCATTTTTCTATTTTTGTAGTGCTTTAATTTAGAATTTACTGGGATTTAAAAAGAAAATTGAAGGACTTGTTTTCGCAACATATGGCTCTGCTTGGCCAACAGGAAGTAGCTAGCAGAGTCTTTGATGAATGGCACAGTTTCAACATCAGTGAACAATGCTCTAATTCTTCATCAATGCCGCCAGTCCAGATGTTCCGAAGAACCATTTTACAGCTCAGTGTACTAATATTGCCAACCATAATGTTTCTCAGCTAGCACAAAGAATAAATCAACAGCCTTACATAAGCCAACATTCAAAATAAAATTTTTGGGATGTGTGTGACTCTGACCAAAATGCTTCTATTCTTTAATCTTAGTTGCTCTGAGAAAGTACTCATAGAACTTTTCTTTCAATGGATGCATTACATATGATGATAACAATGCTTCTACAAGCCGAATAGACAGGGAATTGCAAGGTATTGATTCAACATTAAGGAGAGATGGTATAAAATATCCAAGTTAGGATTGTGTAAGAGGAGGCTGTTGATGTTCGTACAACATTGCTGCACTTATCCCTTTTGGTAGTGAAGTCACAAGATAGGCATATTTCTATTATGGCTGTGATAAGTTAAACCCCACATTAAGCATCAGTAAACAGGCTATTGGTACATAGGTGTCAATATGGTTCTCTCACTAGTTATTTATTACAGTTACTGTGACACATTCTCAATTCCAATTTATTATTCAATGGGGCTTATTCTACCAAGCAATAATACATCCATTTGCATAAAATTTCTGGTCATGAGGAATGGCAATATCTGGAAGTACAAAATATTGATGTAATATGATACCTTGTCCTGTACACAAATGCTCTTCAATGGGTGATTCATATTGGTCATATGCGCAGTGCATTAGTCAGTCTGTCATGACCAGTGGACATACCATTTTAATTAGCATGATTCATTTCAACAATAAATACAAGCTTGTTGTATGGATTCAATTATTTAACGATAGGACTGTATTCAGTGCAAATAGTAACATAACCTATTGAATTAGGGAGGTTTTATAAAAAGAGAAAGTGGAAGAAAGGAGTAAGAAATTGAGTTACGCTTAGTTGGGAATGACAGAAAGACTGTCAAGACTGATCAGAAATAAATCCCTCCAGCTACCCAGAAATAATTGAAAACAGGTTCAAATCTAGAGACTTGTGTTCAAGTCCCACCTGCACCAGAGGTGTGTAAGAACATCTCTGGACAGTTTGGCTTGAATACATCTCAAACAAGGTGGACTTCAGATTGTATGCTACCTGACTGTGCTTCGGTCATGTCCTGACTAACAGTTCCTGTAAGGAGAACAGCTTATAAATTTGATTGTGCCCAAAAATGAGAGCACTGGGTCTGGGTGCGTGCCGTTATTGTCCCAAGTAAAGTGGACTCTTGGATTCTTCTCAATTTTGGCAAGTGTACAGCCAGCACTACCCAGGCTATTTGAGCTGCAAAACTTTGGGGGAACTAGAAATTGGGCATGTCTGATGCTACTTAAATATACACAACATCCCTAAAGGAGAAGTGAAGACAACAGGAAAGCAGTTGTTCATAGAGAAATGGGTTTTTAGAGGGCACCATAAGATAGGAATCTGACTTGGAATCCTTGGTGCAGGCAGAGGGCATGAAGAGGAAATTCCTCTTTGAACTAAGCCCTATAGGCCTCACCTCCATGAATAATGAGAAGACCTCCTCTTAGAGGAGGTTAGCCCTCAGGATATGGTTGCAATGCCAAAAGAGGTTCAGTGGCCTCACCAGAGTTGTTCAGGTAAAAGTTACTGCTCTCTCACCCTCTGCTCACACCTCCCACTGTACCCATGGCACAGTCCTCCCTTGTTTCTCTTCAATTTCCACACCACCATTCACTCCACCTGCCACACCATATGGTATTGTGGATGATATATTAACTTGGATTGAAGATTGGTTAAAATACAGAAGACAGAGAGTTGGGATTAATGGGTCTTTTTCAGGTTGGAAAGATGTAACGAGTGGAGTCCCACAAGGATCATTCCAAGGACCTCCATTATTAATGAACTGGAAGAGGGAGGAGGGTATAATGTATCCAAATGTGCTAAAGATACAAAAATAAGTAATAGTGTGTGTGGAGATGAGGGTATAAGGAATTTGCAAGGGAATATAGATAGGTTGAGTGAGTGGGCAAATGGATGGCAGATGAAGTGTAATGTGGATAAATGTGAGGTTATCTTCTCTGGTAGCAAAAATAGAAAGGTGGATTATTATCTGAATGGTGATATATTGATAAAGAGGAGGTGCAATGAGAACTGAATGTCCTTGTACACTAGTCACTGAATGTTAAAATGCAGGTGCAGTGAAGAAGGAAAATGGTATGTTGGCCTTTACAGTAAGAGGATTTGAGTACAGGAGCAGGGATATCTTGTTGCAATTGTACAGGCCTCAGTGCGACCACACCTGGCGTATGTGTGCAGTTTTGGTCTACTTACCTGAATAAGGATGTTCTGGCTATGGAGGGAGTGCAACAAATGTTTACCAGATTGATTCCTGGGAATGGCAAGACTGATGTATGAAGAAAGACTGGATTGGTTAGGCCTATATTCACTGGAGATCAGACTAGACAGGGTAAACACATGACCAGGGAGTCTAGGATCATGGGACACAGACTAGTTATATGAGGTAGGCCTGTTAGGACTGAACTGAGAAGAAATTTCACCAGAGTGTTGTGAGCCTATGGAATTCTCTGCCACAGAAAACAGTTGAGGCTGAATCATTGAATACTTTTAATAAGGAGATGGATGTAGTTCTTAGGGCTAAAGGGATCAAAGGGTATAGGGACAAAGCAGGAAGAGGGTACTGAGTAGGATGGTCAGCCATGGCTATTTTGAATGATGAAGTAGCCTCGAAGAGTCGAATGGCCTTCTCCTTCTCCTATTTTCAATGTTTCAATGTTTCTATGAAGAGGTTGAATTATCAAGAACAGCTAACCAGGGTAGGCACTTATTGATCAGAGTTCAGAAAGAAAGAAATCTTCTTGAAACATAAAATTTTGAGGGGGCTTGACCGGGTAGATGTTAGGAAGTTGTTTCCACTAGTGGGGAAATCTAGAACCGGGGGACGTAGTCACAGAATAAGAGGTGTGAATGGCTGGAATTCTCTATCCCTGAGAATTGTGAAAGCCAGATAACTAAATATTTAAAGAGGCAGTAGACAGATTTTTTTTGAAACTTCAGGAGTTGATTACTATGAGGAGCTGACACGAAAGAGGGATTGAGGCCTGACGGAGATCAACCATGATATCATTGAATGACAGGACAGGCATGAAGGGCTGAATATCCCACTCCTGCTCCAAGGTTGCTATGTTCTTATGTGCACTCGCCACTTCTTGATATCACGTGAGGTGAACTAAATTGATCGAAGATTGGCAACTGCAATGGTGCGGAACTTCAGGAGGAGGTTGAGACTGGTTATTTACTCCTGTGTGTAGTTCCCACAGGGATGTTGGAGAAATTCCAGGAGAATGAGCTTCGTTGTTTCAGAGAGACAGCTGCAGTTAACTCACAGGATGACAACATTCCACGCTCCCCTTCTGCAGATTCCACCAATATCCTTGTTTATCCAAAACAATAGCAGATCAGGAGCCTTTCATCTCCTAAGCTGTGACAACTGAGGATGACTTTGTGGAAGCTCTAGGATAGGTAGATGAGCACACAGGCCATGCACCAAAGGCTTGCACAAGGTTGATTCATAATGATATTGGCTAGCTGTTAAGTACAGATAGAATTGAATTGGGCTTTTTATGATTTGCTCTTATTGTAGTGAAGTGAGACTAAGATCCATGAGGCTGCATTAAAAGCAATCAGATGGCAGCAGCATTAAGACCAATGGTGGATAGCCCTCTCTGAATTTAAACACGTGGGACAACTTTCTCACCGGAGATAGTGCACACTTCATTATGGGCAAAAAAGAAGTCTATCCCATACATCTCTTATAAGATTTGATTTAGATGCTGCAACACAGGGGAATGACTTTCTGCCATATGTTGACTACTGAGAAAGGAAACAAGAACCCTGGGCAAAAATCTTATGTGCTTTAAATATAGTTGCAAGGTGGGATCATTTCCAGGACCTGCTGTCAACCTGTCAACTCCTTCCAAGGGTTGGCCAATTTGGAGGTTGTCTCCAGGTCTGTCTTCCAATCAGGGACAGTAGGTGGATTGCTGAGACACCAACTCAATCCTAAGGTCTGCACCTTTGGAAAGACAGTAGGCCCTATCACCAAATGCGGAGATGCAGCTGCAAAGTGGGCATGTAAGGGCATCTCCATCTTGAGGGGCCGCATGAAGAGGTTTGAATTTTATAGAAATAAACCCTGGCTACATTCACAAGGCCACCGTAGTGGAGGGGAAGCCTCTGCATAGGACGCCTGTTGCAGCAGCTGCAGTAAATAAAAAGAGGCCTCATGGGTCTCCCTGACCAGTAACTGGCAAGCTGTTTCAGATATGTATGAGCTGCTGGGTTGGTTGGCACTGCCAGAAGCCTAGTTGCCATTGGGTAAGGAGTTGCCTCTGGGCGGGTAGCCATTCCAAACTGTGCTGTCACTCACTACTGCGAGGGCAGTCACTTCTGGAAGGTAGTCACTGCCAGATGTGTAGCCACTTTGTGCCTGTGGGTAGGCACTGAGGGGTGGATAGCAGATGATAATGATGCCCTATCTCTGGAAAAATAGCTTGGAGGTGGAAATGTCTTGTCATGCTTTCAAACACACTCAAAATTCTGTACATTATCACTGTCCAACTCCCAGCAATAAATCAGATTGCCAATGGACAGTGTACCAACATCTAGGATTGAATGTTCCTTACTGGCTTGTTAGACTATCTAAAGTATTATTTCTGTCAGTTTAGACTTAAATTGAATATAAAATATTGTGAACAATAAACATGCTTCTGGCTTTGTTTCTTTGGATCTAGTGATACATATTTGCCATGATGGTGCTTATGAATTTGAGAACGTGTAATCATTCTGCATACAAATAGTAGTGGCGTGGGAGGGCCAATGAAATAACGTCTATGTACACATTGCATCACTTCTATTAAAGGGACCAATGTTTTCAAACCTATAGCATAAAACAAAAAAAAAATTGTAAATCAACTGAAATTGTCCAGTTTAAGTCACTGAATTAACAATTCAGTTTAAATTCCATTTCCAAACCAAGTACAAATTCTTAATCAGTTATTTATCTGTTTATCAGGCTGCAGGGATTTGTCCTAATAAAAAATACTCACAGAGAAGTAATGAGCCTCGATTCAATCCTCAGACTAAGTTAGCTGAATTAGCAATCTCAGCTGGGTAAATAATAAAACTGAAATAATTGTCCCAATGTCCTTGGGCCCTGGGAAGGAAGAGAACGTTCAATTCCTGAACGCGATCCAATAATTTTTTTGGTGGAAATTATGTACATGCGAATGTCTAGTGACAGTAGGATTAGGCACAGCTGTAATTTCCTCTGGTTGAATAATCTATTAACACTAACTGGTGAAGCTATTTTGGCCAAGGCAACAGATTGTTTCTGGAACCATTGGAACTGTAAAACCAGCAGGAATCACTTTCTCCAGAAAAGGAGTATAAAGACCTAAAAATCAAATGATAGAAATTTTACACAGGCAAAGTAGGCAGGAGTAAAGTTTTGAAACATATTCTTTTGACATTTTCAAATGCAAGACCAAAACTAAGCTTTATTGATCTCAATGACTAAACCTCTCTGCAATCTCTCAGTTTATGAAGGAAACTTTCTTGATAAAATGATAAATAATTTTTCAGGAAATTTTCCAGGATAAAATTAAACCATATCACCAGAAAGCTGTCACAGATAAAGGCAGAAATAATTTTATATTGCCTTGCCAATTATTGATATGCCTGAACTCACAAACTGCAAAAATAATTATTTAAATGTGATCCAATCCTAGGGGAAGATCCTACAGGATTTGATGAGGACAATTATCCTGCTTGGTTAGAAAATTCCTACGATAATAATGGTTTGTGACCAATGCTTTTTATACTTATTAATTGATCTTCTTGTAATTGATTTGTCTAATTTACAAAGTGTTCATTGTGAAATGTTCTATGTGATAGACAATTCAAGTATTTCAATTAAGTGTAAGCAGATTTATTGTTATGTAAAAAAGCTGCAAATTAAGCATAATTTATTTTATGTGTCTCGTTTTATTTATTACTGTAGTTAAGTTGCCAAAACCAACACCAGCTTGTAAACCATGAAATATCACATTATTTTCAGTGTGTCTGCAGGCAGAAAATTGAGACAGTATCTCAAGGTCCTGCACTAGATTGAAGTCTTTTATGATTATCAGCACAAGATAATGGTTGCTATGGTTTTGTCAGACTGCATTTCCCACTTTTACACATACATTGCTGTAGCTGCAAGTTATTGCAAATGGGATCAACATTTTGAAGCATTTTACTTGTATTCAGAATTGGACTTCTAACTGATCTGATTTTGAGATCAC